GGAGGCTCTACAAAAAAAGCCCTAAAGGACAAACGCCAAACCCTGAAAGCTATTTCCTGATGCTTTAGGCTGCTAAAAACATGTATATCATTATAATTAACGGGTACAAAGGTACTGGATAATCTTAAAAAACAAGAGTGGTTTCTAGCTAGGAGAATACTTTTACTGGTTATACTAGCCCTCTAGAGATATTATACACATTTCAGTATCCATCACAGTGAAGTAGGTGTTAAAACATATCTGAGTGGCCAAGCCCACATTAACAACTGTAATACATGTCTAATGAGAAACAAAATCCACAGGGACAGAATCTACTTCTACCAGGGTATTAATATTATGGCAAACAGCCTTTAGTCCATCACCAACAGATGCCACGTGTTTCAGAAACTCCACCCTGAAACACAAACACTCTGGACCCACAGCAGTTTTTCAATGTGTCAGGCTGTTCTTCCCATACTGATAAGCTAATGGATCTATTATTTAGCCCGTGGTTACTACCATTTAGCAGTCCAACTGAAAAAGCTAAACATAATCTGGAAGCACAAGGACCAACCTGTTTTCTCTACTGGAAAATGTCTAAACCATACTTCCAACACTTGCCAGCAAGATCCACAATGAGAATGGAAAAAAAAGGATAATAAATCTTATAATCAGATGTGTGCAATGACTATAAACTTAACTGTATTTACTTATTTTGTGATCTTATTCAATTCAAAAAGCCACAGCCCTTTAAAAACAAAGATTCAGATGATCATAATTTTCTTGCTTTAGAACATTAAAACAAGCCTTAATAAATAGCTATTAACAATGAAATTCATGAATTTGTGCCCATTTGACTCAGACTTTCCTGTCTCAGTGCTGTTAAATGAGTAGACTTTGAATGATAATCTATCAGACGTGTCATTGTTCAGCTGCACCACGACCGAATCTCGTTTCAACAGCCGTGTCAATGTCTACATACATTTCAGAGGCAGTACATTTTAAAAGCTGCCTAAGAGATGTAAAAATATTGTAGATGTACAAACTATACAACCATAGCAAACTTTAATGTTAATAATGCATGAAATGCATGATTAAATATAAACTTGTGTCAACTGTAAATGCTGACATGATTTTCATGCTTCAGACATGAGCTCCACTGTCAAAATGCACAAAGCTCACAAGATAACAGGGCAGACAAATGAACCATATTTGAATCACGAGTGGGACACTGCAGTCCCACATCCTGTTCCCCCCACCAGCCACAGCACAGCAGCTGCATCCAGCGGACATTAGGAGTGACTTTATCACAGGCGGCTTCAGATGCATTAAGGGTCTCATTATGTTTAATAGCTCCACTTGCGAGTAGAGCAGCCACTGGCAAAGGAACACATGGCGAATATGAACTAAACGTTGTTAAATGGTCAAAATAGAAAATACTCACATTAGTATGATAACACAGTTAAGCCACTGTAGTTAAAGAATAGTTTTACATTACATTTTTCATAGTTGGGAAGAAAAGGTGGTCTGTATTAGACATGGTTAACATAGGGGATTAGTAAACTGGCTAACACTGCCCAATGAAACAGTATCTGGTATGTGTAGTGCCAAAGACGACACAGTTCAAACGGCTTTACATAGTCTTGCTGAATAAGACTAATGTCAGTGCTCTTCGCATGTGATAAAATTATTCAAACGTGAAGCTAGTTTGACACTCTCCTCCTGGCTTTTGCATGTCAATCTGCAACAAGCCTACACTAAACAGTCACTTAACACTTAGCTCAACAATATCGCAGAGACGGGTAAGAATATAGTATATAACCCTGTGTTGACCACTTTTAAATACACGGCACAACTCCGAGCACACTGTAGAGTGATAAAACTTGAACCTTCGTCACAGCAATGGCTAAATACAGAGAGGAAACCATTGTAACAACATGGGCGCTGGGCCAATACACAGTACAGATCAAACTATCAGGACAATGAATTGACATACAGGTCTGACAACATGAACACTTCCTGGTGCAAAGCCAAAATGGCTATTCCATGAAGCATCAGAGCTGGAGGCGAATTCAACCTGCACAAAAGATACAGGACTACAGGATTACAGTTAGATATAGATGGAGGGACCACATCACTTGATGAGTGATCTTGACCTTGAACCTTGTTCTGCTCTCCAAAAATGAGATAAAAAAAAGTAACCACAACACTGTGTAATCTTCAAAGGAATGGTAGTGATGTAGGTTAACATGGCAGATGAATCTGGTCAGTGCCACCTGCACTCCGGTTACATAAGCACAGAGACCAGAGAAATATGATTCACAGGCCTCCAACATGGACAGCATTTACTGGCAGTCACAGCGAGCAGCAGCGATGGGGAGGACTCTGTAGAATTTTCATTTGTTCAGCAAGGACACACAATCAAGACAGAAATTAAGTGCAGATTAAGAAAGTATTGATCCCTGCATCTCTCTTTTAGATTACAAGATTGTCTTATTGAACCAATGTTACTACTTTCCATGCCTGAACAGATAAATGAACAATTTTGTTCCCTTGTCAATAGATAACCATAAAAGGACATCGCTCTTCTGCACCTCTTCATGCTAGCATAATATACCATGCTCTCCTCTCTATTTATACATTTTCTTAAAAAATAAATAAATAGAGAAGCTGCCTGGTGCATGGCCAGACTTGTCAACCTTGTACAGACTGCGACCCACATTTTTGGACACAAAAGTCACAAAGAATTTATAGTTTTCTGTTTTCCTTACAAAAAAAATAATTGTGTTAAAATTTAT